TGCCACCAACTCATTGCTACACCTCCACTGACTAAATAAAACTAGGAGGGAAAAGGTCAATAACTTAAAAAAAAAAAAAAAAGCTGCAGTCTGATAGCTATATTTTCAAGAAATACATGTCAAACTTCAAGACAAATATATACCTAACCTTCCCACTCACCAGGCTTTGTTTTTCCTTTTTAACTTACAAATTATAGACATTTTTCCCCTCTGGAAAAATTAACATTAATTAAAGTCTATCCTTTACTGTTTTCAGAGGTATTCAACAACTTGAGAAATTGCTAACAAGCCTTAGATAAAATAATTCTAAAGTTTAAAAAAAAGTTAGGAAAAGGAAAACAGCTCTTGGATAATCATAAACTATTACATGGACAGTAAGAGGACCATTAGGACACTGAAAAGAATCTGACTGACAGAAAACCAAATTACTGAGCAATCTGGATGATCTGAGAAACAAGGGAATGGGTACCATATTACCTTAGCATCTGCAGACTCTACTAGCATTTGCAACATGAAAAATGTGCTTATCTAGTTCTCAAACTATGTATTCAAGATAAGGTTGAAGAAATCATTCATCAGGGCTTCTCCCAGTTACATTATCGTATAACCACTAACACTCAACAAAAAAAGCTGTTTTCATGATGGGTGAGGTGGTTTAAAAGACCCCAGCAAATTCTCCTAAAAGCAAAAGGTGTGGGAACTTTCATTTCTGAAGAAGGGATCTAGTCAAGGAAACATAATTTGACAACTTTTTTCCCTGAGATTATCAAAAATATATCAGAACTTCAGTGTTTCATATGGTACATAATACATAATGTGTATACATAATACATACTACTCAATAAGTACCAGCTAAAGAAAGCAACAAAAGCCAAAAAATAGATAAAGTCAATCAATTTTAAAAGGGTACTGTTCCTACAATACATCAGATGTCCAAAGTCCGAAAAGGAAAGAATAAAAACAGACTCACTGAAAAAGATGAGGCCGCCTGGTCGGTCATTCTAAATGGTTGAATGAATGAAAGAATGAATGCTTGATAAGAAACATAAAATAGAAAATTCATGCTAGAAGCTACGAATCTGGAGAAAGGATTTTGCCTCCAAAGAAAAATTCAATCTTTACCAAGTTCAGCTTAATATAATAAAATTTTAACTGCTAACAATAAATAATTATGAAACTAAACAGAAAGATGAGGGTGGGGGAATAAGCCTGTTGACTATGGTTCTTTAAGGTTGTGGGCTCTAAGATACTTGGGGGTCCTAACTCTGAGAGGCCCTGCCTGCCTGCCCACTTTCTTGACTCTTCCTCTTTGTTGTTTCACCCTTTAATCATTACATCAGTTTCAACTTGCACCTCTATCAGATAATTTCCAAATGTTATCTTTAACTATGAGCTCAGTTTCACATCTCCAATAGTCTACAGATCGTGTCTTTGTGGTCGTCCCACTATCCCCTCAAACACAACAAACCTAAAACTCATCTGTTGCCAATTGTTCCCGAGTGATTTCCAAACCTGACTTGTTTCACCCATGTTTTCATCAGTTTCCCTATAACCCAGGCTTAGAGTCATCTAATTTTTCAGTTGTCCCTTCTCCCCAACTCTGCCAGTCAAATTCCATCAATTCTCCTTCCCCATCCAAATGACCCAACTTTGAGCTTCAATCATTTCTAGGCTATTACAGTAATTTTTTTAAATGTCCAATCTCACCCCATTTCTAGTCTCTCTCCACACAACCCATCCTGCACACAACTACCACATTCACCTTCTTCATTCATCCTGGGGTAATCTTATTTACAAATACTTAATAGCCACAACATTCTGAAAAACATCTAAATGCCTTAGCCTAACAATCAAATCCTCCATGCTCTAACCCCAATCTATCCTTCTAGCTTTATCTTCTCTTCCCCTAAACATGTGCCAGCCAGTCATGTTTCCACCCCTCAATTCACGTTATCTTTCACTCCCCCTTTGAGTACCTTCTACCCAAATCCTATCCATCCAGCATCCAACATACTCTATCAACTCAACAGTTCTTCCTTTCAATATCCAAGAGCATATTATTACCTATACCAGTCATTGGAAACTTACTACATATTTACTCAATCTGTGATTTGCATTTTTTGTGTGTATATCTATGAGAGTAAGATTTTCAAGGACAGGGTTCATGACTTCCATTTCCCAGTATCCTTTACATTTCAATAAACTTATGAAGTTCCCACCAAATGAAACTATGACAAAAGACTAGAGACCACTAAAACAAACAAAACAACCCCTACTAAACATTCCCTGTAACACTGCTCCATGGAATGAGATCAAAAAACAAGGCAAAATCGAAGATATACAAAAACTGGGTAAGTATTAAGAAAAATGAGACTTCTTAAAAATTCTAGAGATCCTTCCTAGAAAGATATGTTCTAATTTCTTCTCTTATTCAATGAAATGTTTTCCATTGTATTAAGCATCCACCCTCCTTTTTGTTTCTCAATATTAAGAGCATCCATAATGTGGGTGAGATATTTCAAACATACAACCCACAACTCTTATTTCAGTCAAGGATGCTTAGAGTTATTCAGAAAGCTTTGGAGAGAAACTCTCTTGTAGACCCATACATTTTTTAAAATATATGTACACAGCTATTTTGAGTAGCTGAAACGTATATTAATTTCATACATTAACTTACATTTTCCTGACTGAAGATAAGATGTTAAAACGGTTATTATTTATCTGATTGGCATCATCTAGTTCACCTAACTTTAATCCCAAATACTGTGTACATATAACATTAATTCCCTGAGAAAGTTGTAAATTACTACCCATGTACATATTCCTTGCAACTTTAAAGATAAAGTGGTTATGTCTGGACCAAAACAGAATAATTATATAACTGCTAGTTGTTTGATAAAGGAAAAACTTACTTACGAATAGACTGCAGCTATCAGTATTAGGGGAAATTGACAAAACTTAAGAACTCCAATTATCAATCGATAATTGTGCATGCTATCAAAAACTGAAGAATTTTTTAAATAGTGTTTTGGCCTTTCATATCATAAAAACTTTCTTAGAATGCTACAAAATCTATCATGTTAAGCACAACAACAAAAAAGGCAGTTATGACAAAATATCTGTGCAGTACTTTTGTAATCAACAGTGCTGTAAAAGACGTTAATATTGTGATGATCTAACGTTAGTTAGCTTGGGTTTTTACACTTAACAGTCCAGCAAAAAGTTCCTCTGACTCAAATCACCTATGACACTTTGGCTCAAAAATCACTTCCTCAAATTCGATTCTCCACTGTCACAAGTCTAAAACTTAAACCCTTAAGGAGCTAAGCAGATGGAAATGGAAAGCAGTCTTTTCCAACCTCACTGTCAAACCGATCGGAAAGTTCATAACTAAGCTCGCGGTTCAACAAGCTACGTACGTAGTAGTAACTTTGACGTGGTAACTTTTTATATGATGCCTGCAACAGAGTTTTATAAATATCTTTTGTGTGATGATGAACTGAGTCAGAACTAAAAAGTTCAGGGAATTCAGAGCCAGTCCAATGATACACTGGGCCAGGGCAGGAGATTTTAGAGGGACTCCAAGATTCCTCAGGGAAAACGCCAGGTTCTGGTGTTTTCCAAGATGATGTACACCTGAAACCTTCTATCGCAGATAACCAGACTGAGAGCAAGAGGAAGGAAATAAATACAGACTCAGACAAGCACCAGAAAACAGGGCTACTCACCAGCAGACAATCTGAATTCACTTCCGATTTGGGATCCCGCAGCAGGTTGTCGATTTTTTCAAACCGAGTCTCAAAACTGTCCCCAGTCGACATGTTGCTGCTGCTGTGACAATACCCTCGTACCAGCACCAGCAGCGGAAAGCGATTTCAACCAACTTCCTCCGGCGGTGGGTTCGCGGCCGCGGGGCGGGGGAGCCGGAACCCCAGGGTCACCAGGTGCGCCCGGTGCCCCCTCCTCCCCCTCACTGAGGGGATCTCCGCGCTCCGGACCCCGGGCCGGGGGCGACGGCGACCCACAGCCGCTCGGACGCAAAAAGTCGCATCCCACCCGGCAGCTCCTCACGACGGCCGACTGCGCCGTCGCTCCGGCGGAGGGCTGCAGCCTAGCGGGCCCCGGCCGCCTTCGCCATGGAGGGTTCCCGGTGCCGAGAGGGGCAAGAGTGGGGAGAGAGAGAGAAGCAGGGTGGAGACTCCTCCGGGCAGCAGGGGAGGGAGAAGAGGAAAGGCGAATGCGAAGGGCGGGCGCGGAGCTGTGCCAGCTGCCGCCGCCGCCGCTCGGGCCCCGGGCCGGGCCCGCTCCACTCTGAGGCGCTAGAGGCGGTCTAGCCCCGCATCCCCGGCTCCACTCGGCCCGGCCCGACGCCCCGATCCGCCTCGGCCAGGAGCTGGTCCCCCACGGGGCAGCCTCACTCTCCCATTTTGTCCCGGCGCTGCTGGGGCTGCTGCCGCAGTGTCCGGTGGGGCAGGGCGAGGTCGGTGCCCTGTGGAGGTTCGGGAAAGGACGGGCTGGCGAGCGGGCGGCGAGGATAGATGAGAGTCGGATCCCGGCGGCTGCGGCTGGGGGAAGCTTCTGAGAGGCGCTGCGGCCCCGGCTGGGGAAAGGGCGAGTCGCGCGGCGAATGCTCGGGTGGAGGGGGGTGGGGCGAAGGGGGCCGTGAGGGACTAATATGTCCGCCTTCCTGTTCAAACAAACGGAGACCGCCGGCGCGCACTGCGCATGCGGGGCGCGGACATTCGGAAGGGGAACCGGGCCGGCGCCGCGCGCGCACTGGCGCGCGCGCGCGCGCTGTGCTCTCCGGCCGGGCTGGGCCGGGCTGGGCCGGGAGGGGCGGAAGGCGGGGCGCACCCGGGGCTTTGCGGGCGGGTGGGGAGGCTGGCAGCCGGGACGGGTGGACTGGGTGCGGCGGGTGGCACCGCCCTCGGCCGGGCAGGCTCTGAGCAGCCACGCAGGGCTCGGGAAGCGGCGTGGGATCCGCACGGGGAGGAGCTCTCGCCGCCTTCGGTCGCGTCCTGGCCGTTGCCCCAGCTCTGCTTCCTCTGGGCTGCAGCGGTCGGGAGAGTTGTGGCAAGAAAGGATGCTTGTTATTGTTATTTGGGAGATACTTTTTTTTTCTGTTTTTAAAGGCACGGTGCCTCTTCGCCGACAGGAGCCAACATTTTAGCACCAGCGGAGGTTGGTCTTCTGTCGTGCCTTAGCGTCAGCCCTCCGTGAATCCCACGTCGTTTTAACTCGTCTTTGCTTCCATGGGAAAACTACGAAGCAATGTAGTACATAACCCTCTAAACTCAGGGTGTGTGTCAGGGGAGCTTTAAACTATGGACTCCGGAAGATACAGTCAGTAGAAGTCAAGCTCAGTTTAGTTTAAAAAAAAAAAGGAAAATAATCTCATAGGAAAAAAAATAAGTATTTTGTAAATTATTCATACTAGTTCCCTTACACTTTTAAGCCTCCCACTCTAGTTATCGTCTTGATGTGTAATCCTGCCGTTTTGATTTAAAAACATTCAGTGAAACTTAAAATTGTGATTTTACTAGACTGAAGTAGAACATGAAAATAATGGGCCTTTCCTCCTAATTCAATTGCTTCATTGACTGTTGTGGGAGAGGGTGAGACGCCTTACCTAACCTACTGATAAGGTACTTTCAGCAGGAAATCCACCTTAATTCATTTCCAATCAATCTTCAGTTTGACTCATAGGTCAAATAAAGGATTGCTAAAAATCGAAAATGTGGATGTTTTATCCTCCACTGGAAAAGGCTACAGACAAACCAATTGTCTTTCTATATGAGAAGCACCGTACAGCATCTGAACAGCACACCAACTTTCTGCTGTGAGTCAGAGCTTAGGAAAATGTACTATTGTTTGAAACATAGCATTCTGTTTGTATTGTGTTAGATGCAAGAAATATTGAACTATAAAATCCACAGTATCAGTGAAGATAAAAGTCAGCCCTCACAAAAAGACAGACAATTAGACAAATTTCAGGTATTTCATGAAATGCTTTTGCAGTGACTTTTCTTGGCTCCAGTATTTTAAGCCAGTCATGTGAATTAAATTTATTTTTAAGCATAGAGCTTAAAATAAATCTGGCAGCTGCCCTAAAATAAATTTCCTAAACCCTGCTTGTTCTTTTTTATTACCATTTTTAGGTAGTCTTAGGAATTTTGTTGTTTCTCAGAACTGTGAGCATTATGCTGCTTTCCACTTGGGCACATGAAAAAATGCTGGTAGCTAAGACAATGCTTGAGTGGTCCTGATAAAATGTAAGTGGGACTGAAAGTCCATCTGGCTAAACTACTAGAAATATAGGTGGGGCTAAACTACTAGAAATATAGGTGGGGCCTATATATTTTATTGATCGACAGAGCTATCTGATTATTGTAACCCTACACTAGTTGTCTTTTACCATAAGATAGAATGACTCTGTATCAGTGTTTTTGTTTTTCAATAGAGAAGTCCTCACCTGTAATAGAATAGACTTATATGACATTAAATTTCCTTTCTAACTTTAAAATTCTATTGTCATTAGTTTCTTCAAAGCATTGTGGACATTTGAGATCACCCTTAAAGTATATATTAAAATCCTAAATGCAATTACAAACTATTGATAGCATGTACAAATAGATTAAGAATATAATACTGATTACACATACTGAGTGCTTACCATCTGTTAGGCAACATGTTTGTGTGTGTGTGTTAAGTTGCTTCAGTCATATCTAACTCTTTGCAACCCTAAGGACTGTAGCCCACCAGGCTCCTCTTCCATGGGATTCTCCACGCAAGATTACTGGAGTGGGTTGCCATGCTCTTCTCCATGATATCTTCCCAACCCAGGGCTCAAACCCGGATTTCCTACATTACAGGCTGATTCTTTACCAGCTGAGCCATCAGGGAGCCCTAGAATTATCTCCCGGTTGTATTGTTTACATCACACAGATAAATGATTCCATATAAAAAGGCAATTATAAAACTTGCAAAGTGGTGGCTTCCCAGGTGGCACTAGTGGTAAAGAACCCACCTGTCAATGCAGGGGACATAAGAGAAATCAGGTTCAATCCCTGGGTTGGGAGGATCCTCTGGAGAAGGAAATGGCAACCCACTCCAGTATTCTTGCCTGAAGAATCCCACAGACAGAGGAGCCTGGCAGGCTACAGTCCATGGGGTCGCAAAGAGTCAGACAAGACTGAAGTGACTTAGCACCCACCCAATATGGTTTCAGTCCCTAGGGGAAAATGTGAAATGAAAAGAGCAAGGTGTGAATAAAAAGGATCTTGACAACGTTCAGTTAACAGTGACTTGACTAGAGGTTTCCGAGCACTGGGTCCAGGAACCAGTGGCCATCCTTGGTGGTGTGTTTGTGAAGTAAGCAGTTCTACTTTAAGATTGTCTTTCAATCTGAAATTCTCTTGACTACTTTAAAAAAAAAAAAACTAAATGTACTTTCCTTTAAGAAGAAAGAGTAGCTGGAAATAGTACAGTTTTTTTCATGTTTTCACTTGGAAATTGAAAAATTTCAAAGTTGGCAGCTTAAGCAAATATATCAAGTTAGTTATATTTTAATTTTTCTGGTTTTTGGAATTCAAACATCTGGAAATGTTTAATTTAGATGAGACTCTTGCTCGGACCTAATGAAGAGACTGCGGTGCTAAAAGAATTTGAGTGAGGCATAGCTGGGAGAGATCATAGAAAAAGTAGAAAGATTTGGGTGTAGACTTGTGTATAGTAAAAGACAATTAAGTCCAACATTCCTTTGCTTTTGGTTATTTGGTAGGAAATAGATTCCTTTTAATGTTTACAGAATTTCTTTCACAAACAGTGATGTAGTAATTAACCTCCAAGGAGGGTCGCCATTGAACCCTGTCTCCCAGTATTCACCCCCTCCTGGAGGCCCCTCCCACACGGAATCTGGGCTGGGGCCTTGTGACCTGCTTTAACCAGCAAAGTGCAGCAAAAATGGCACTGTGCCGATATCAAGCCTAAACTATGTGAGTTTGCCTGGCAGCTGACGGTTTGGTGCTCTGGGAAGTCCAGCTAAACTGAGATCACCATGGTGTGAAGAAACCCGAGCTAACTAACAACAAAAAGACATCAGATGGAAGATGACTGAGGAATCCGTAGAGAACAGCGACTCCAGACTTCTGACCCACATCAAGCCATGCCAGCAGTCCCTAGCCATTTGTAACGCCCCTGATGATGCCACAGGGAAGAGACAAGCTAATCCCCCCACACACTGCCCAAACATCAGAATTGTGAACACATAAGAAAATGCTTGCTACTTTGAGCCACTAAGTTTTGGGATAGTTCTCAGCATGAGATGACCCAACAGTTGGATTACAAGCAAAAAAAAAAAAATTCATAGTTAAATGTGAATATAGACATATATGCAGAGTACCTTTTATACTTTTTCTTATCTTAACCATGACACAAGGAAGTGGTCCACATAAAGTGTTATAAAGGAATGACAGGGTTTCCCTCGTGGGGAATCTGCCTGCAGTGCAGAAGATGCAGGAGATGTGGGTTCAATCCCTGGGTCAGGAAGATCCCTTGAAGGAGAAAATGGCAACCCACTCCAATGTACTTGCTGGGAAAATCCTGTGGACAGAGAAGCCTGGTGGGCTACAGTCCCTGGGGTTACAAAGGGTCAGACACAACTGAGCGAGTAAGCTCACACACACACATGCACACAAAGGAATGACATTAACTGATGTTTATTGTCTTTACTTCAATAAAACCTTTGTACAAAAGAAATGTAAAAGCTTTTTAATAACATTAAAGAATGCTTCCAGATTTTTAGAAAAAATTATAAAGCTATCATATTCCCATATAAACACATTTTCACCTGTATTTTAATATTTTCTCAATTTAGTGCAATGTCTAGTCTGTCTTACAAACATACCAAAAATTCAGGTACATACTGTAAATTACTTATTCAGTGCCATAAATTGCATGTAATTTCAAAATTGCATACCACAAATGTGTTAAGAATGTTATGTGGCTAAGTTCTTACAGAAACTATAGCTACATTTCCAAGAAAGTATGATACTTATGTTTCATGGAACTTTCCAAAAGGGCATTACTTTTTTTCTTTTTTTAGTCTAGAAGAGCTTCAATTGATTCTGAACAACTTTAGTAAACTCAAAGTTGTGAAAATTTACGTTCAGTTCTGTTTTAGGAAGTTGGTTTTATATGATTAATATTTTCCCACAAAGTAGTTTATATGTACACATTTTTCTAGATCTGTGACGTGGATCAGGAAGAATATGTTACTTTACTCAGGAGTGCTCTTGAGATTAGGCAAGGTTTTCATTTCTTTCTACAGAACATTCAAGCTTGGGAGTCAATGTAGTTTGACATGTTTATATCTACTAGATGTACAGCGGTAGATGTACATGTTTACATCCTTTACGTGAACAGTAGCAGTAACATGGTTACATCCTAGGCAGCCTAAGTGCTGCCTAGGAAAGTTGAGGGTTCGGCATCTATCAAGATTTCTGCAAGGAAAAGTGTAGAGCCAGTCATGAGCACAGGGCGCCCTTAAGGGCTTCTCCTGACTCACCCTGGAATGCTTTTCTCTAACATCTGTTTTTTATTTCTTAGAAGTTGCTATTCCATTCAACTGCAAAAATACTTGCACTGACCCTGGAAACAGAATGGAGAAATAGAAGGAAACAGATTTCTGTAAAACAGCTACTTCCCTGCTCTATGTTATTGCCATCTTGGGGACCCTTCTGTTACCACACTCACAAGCTCCAGCATGTAAGTGTCTGATGTTGCAAGTTCATTCCAAAGGTGGGTTCCACAATAGTTTGTGTTTATGGAACCCCTGAGATGGTGTATACATGACCCTAGTGAGAGAGGAAAGGCCAGATCAAGGAGATAATAACAGATACGCATGGTTGGTCACAAACTCTTTCATTTTTTCCAAGAGCCTCCTGTCCACATTTCCCTAGTCCCACCCAGCAGCCCTCCTTTGAGTCCCAGTTGTGAGCTTCCTGGCCCACTGCTTTTTAGGTACTTATATTCTTCCTCTTAAGGGCCTGTAATTGGTGAATTGCCTTTTTTGGCAGTGACAGGCTCTTCACTCAACATCTACTTCCCTTTTTTTTTTTTAAATGACAACTTTTATCACTCATCTCTGTCTCAACTTTAAGACTTCCATGCCAAGCCTGGCAATCTGTGACGACCTAGAGGGGTGGGATGGGAGGAGGAAGGGAGGCTCAAGAGGGTGGGGATATATTTACATATTTATAATTATGACTGGTACCTGTTGCTGAATGGCAGAAGCAAACACAACATTGTAAAGCAATTATCCTCCAATTAATTTTTTTGTTCAAAAGACTTCCATGCCAAACATGTAGAAACAGAAAAATGTCTGTTTCTGAGATTTCACCATTTTCCCCCTCCCTTTTCATTCAAAGCCCAGTTGAAACGTAACATCTCTAAAATCCCTATAACTTGAAGAGAGGCACTGATTCCTCATGTTTACCCATCAACATGTAAATATTACCCTATATACTCTACCAAAGAATGCTCAAATTACCGCACAATTACACTCATCTCACACACTAGTAAAGTAATGCTCAAAATTCTCCAAGCCAGGCTTCCGCAATACGTGAACCGTGAACTTCCAGATGTTCAAGCTGGTTTTAGAAAAGGCAGAGGAATCAGAGATCAAATTGCCAACATCTGCTNAAGCTATGGTTTTTCCAGTAGTCATGTATGGATGTGAGAGTTGAACTATAAAGAAAGTTGAGTGCCAAAGAACTGATGCTTTTGAACTGTGGTGTTGGAGAAGACTCTTGAGAGTCCCTTGGACTGCAAGGAGATCCAACCAGTCCATCCTAAAGGAGATCAGTCCTGGGTGTTCCTTGGAAGGACTGATGCTGAAGTTGAAACTCCAATACTTTGGCCACCTCATGAGAAGAGTTGACTCATTGGGAAAGACCCTGATGCTGGGAGGGACTGGGGGCAGGAGGAGAAGGGGAACGACAGAGGATGAGATGGCTGGATGGCATCACCCTCGATGGGCATGAGTTTGAGTGCACTCCGGGAATTGGTGATGGACAGGGAGGCCTAGCGTGCTGTGATTCATGGGGTCGCAAAGAGTCGGACACGACTGAGCGACTGAACTGAACTGAACTGAACTGATTCTTTCTTGGGGCTTCCCCAGTGGCTCAGCAGTAAAGAATCTACCTGCAGTGCAGGAGGCACAAGAGACTCCGGTTTGATCCCTGGGGCAGGAAGATCCCCTGTAGAAGGAAATGGCAACCCACTCTAATATTCTTGCCTGGAGAAGTCCATGGACTGAGAAGGAGCCTGGCAGGGCTACAGTCCATGGGGTAGCAAAGAGCTATGCTGCCTGCATATTCTTTCCTAATAACCATGACACTTTATAAACTTTGCTTTTTATTTGCAGGCAATGTTAGTGCTCTGCTAGTTGAATTAATACATATGCTCCTGTTTATGTGTGCTTGCCATTACTGCTTCATGTGTTCCCTAGGGCATATGCTAGGCCTTTAAAAGCAATACTCATGGTTTTTTTTTTTTACTTATAAAAATAGTACATGCTTATTTTGAAGATTTTGGGAAATATGGAAAAGTAAGAGAACAAAATTCACCCATGTTCCCACCACTCAACTATAATCACTATTGATAATTTTGCAGTTTGTTTGTAATTATTTAATTCCCTGCAGAGGTTTGTTTGTTTTATATGTTGTATCTACAGTTCTTATATACTGGTTATTTTTCAGTTTACATAATGATTTGTATAAGCATATTTACCTTAAATATGTTTTAGTACCTGCATAATATTCCAGTCCAGAAATTTATCATAGCTTATTTAACCATTACTATAAATAGTGCTACGACTGAGCGACTGAACTGAACTGAACTGAACTGATAAATAGTGCTACTATAAAGACTTTTTTGTGCATAAGGTTTCATTAAGTTTTTTTGTGCATAAAGTTATTTTCTTTCCCTTCTTTTTTTGGATTTTTTTCCCTTAAAAAATTTTTTTTAAATTTTATATTACAAATTTTTCCTTAATTGAAACTTATTTCCCTCAAAATGATTCTCAGAAGTGGGCCAAAGTATTTTAAACACTTTTGATGTATTTTGCCAAATTGTTTTTGAAATAGTGATGCAAGTTTATACTCCGGCTACTTATTTTATTTATTTATTTTTTAAAATATTTACCAAAAAAAAATAAACAAAATATTTACTTTTTATTTATTTGGCTGCATAGGTCTTAGTTACAGCAACTCTGTTGCTGTATGCAAGATCTTTAGTCATGGCATTTGTAATCTAGTTCCCTGAGCCCCCTGCATTTCTAACAGAGTCTTAGCCGCTGAACCACTAGGGAAGTCCCTGGCTACAGACATTTATTTCCCTTTTGATATCTTCTCACTGGCACTGAATGTGTCATTATTAACATCTTAGCTCACTGTTGTATTAATTTGCATATCTTTGATTACTACAAGGTTGAATATTTTGCCATTTGTTGTTAATTAGTTGTTTTTCTTTTTCTATGAACTAATTTATGATTTGTGCCTATTCATCAGTTGGGCCTTGGGATTTTTCTTACTGATTTATATGAGTATAAATATGAATGTATGTATGTATCTGTATATATGTAGGTATGCATATATATGTATGTCTTAAGGATACTAAGTTTTGTCTTAAAATTGAAAATTTTTACCAATTTTTTATTTCTTTAAACATTTTGAGTGTATTTTTGTCAATTAAAATACATACTTTCAAAAATTCTGTCAAAGACTTTTTAAAAGGAATTTGTTTTACTATTTTTATGCTTAGAAACTCCTCCCACCTTCCAAAAGTTTGATATATATCTCTATTCTTTTTTGTCTCCTTTCCCCACCCTTGCTATGGCTTGCTTTCTACATAGTTTTAAAATTCCAACTGAAATTCATTTTAATATATTGAATAAGTGAGAATCTACTTGTATCTTTTCAAATTGCTGAACAGTTCTATCAACATTGTTTATTAAGTTAACCTCCTTTATTGATTATGTTACCCTCATTGTCATACATTAATTATAATATACATATTTATTCTTGAACTATTGTAATTCGTTGCAGATACATTAATTCTACAAACATAATAACATAATGGTAGTTAATGTGATTATTTTAATAACCCAGAAAAGTTATTCCTTCTTTGTTACTTTTCTTTTAAAATATTTTCCCAAACTATTTTAATCAATTATTCTTCCATATGATTTTAAGAATATTTCTTCATGTACCTCCTCACTCTGTATTGCATTCCATTACATTATTATTTTAACTGAAAATATTTTATGACTTAATTTGGAAGGAATACTTTATGATATTCCATCTTCCAGTTCAAAAATCAGTAAACTCTATTTATTCAAAAATGTAAAAATGTTTCTTGACAAAATTTTATAGATTTTATCAGCTAGGCAACACATACTTCTCACTGGGATTATTTCTGGGATCCTAAAATGTTGGTTGCTGTCTTGAATAGGACCTATGTTCTGATTATTTCATGATTATTGGTATAAAGGAGCAGTATTGAATTTGATATATGTAGTGGTCTTTTATCAAGCCATTTTGCTGAACTACTATTGGGTCTATAAAATCTTTCAATGTCCTCCAAAGAGGAGACATAACAAACTGTGACAAATCACTAATTCTGAGATATATCTCAGTTTTGGAGAGGTTAAAATGTGGAAAACGGCAAGCCATAGATTTGATAAAATATCATAGATTTCTAAATGATGATGATTGGGTTTCTTTCTCACCAGTAATCATATCTTACATCTATTTCAGGTCTCCATGTCTTGGCCAGAGCAATAGAGGCAAATGACAGGCAGTCCCATCCTTCACCAGTTTTCCAGAGAAATAATTCTTCTATAAGCCTGATGTTAACTTTCGATTAAAATAAATACTCTTCATCATTTTAGGACAATATCTTTCCATTCACTGGATATCAGTCAAATACCAATTTCATATCTTCTATGCTGTGCTTTTATTTACTTTTCATTTTTCTTAAAGTGTGTCATGTTTTAAATGTAAATTTTAAAGTAAATTAACTTAAATTAAGTGGAAAACTTTCCATCAGTATAGAAGTTGGAAAAAGAAAAGCAAAAAGAACAACAAGAAGATGGAAAAACAAAACCACTTTCCATAAAGGGGAGGTAACCATAAAATTTTTTAAAAAGCACAAAACAGTGTTATATTCTGTTTACTTACTGTTACTTGCTTAAGGCTCCAAGCCTAATGCCAACTCCTACTTATTAAAAGAAAAAAGGATATTAGCAAGTATTGAAGAAACATGCAAAATTGAAACTTTCTCCTGGAAGTAATCAGATTACAAAGAGAATTGCAATAATGTTCTCAGCATAGTTAAAACCTTGTCTGAATCTCACCTAAAATCTCTTAACAACTGTCATATATAACACACAGAAGTGTTAATTATATTTATTGTATTGTACATTGTATCCCTAGTACTTACCTTATAACTGGAAATGTGTACCTTTTGACTGACTTCATCCTCTTCTTTCTCCCATCACCTGCCTTATCTTTGATAACCACAATTTGATCTCTTTTTCTATGTTGGTTGATTGGTTTTTTAATATAATTGATCTATAAACACTATGTTAATCTCCATTACAGAACATAATGATTCAATATTTCTATTCATTCAATCACCGTGATAAATCTAGTTGCAATATGACACTGTACAAAGATATTACATAGCTATTGACTGTATTCTCCACACTGTCCATTTCAAACCCCTAACTCATTTAAAACTTTAAATAATTAAAAAAATGAAGAATACTTAAGTAAGGTTTAGCACATCTTTAAGAGTGTCTGTTGTCTTCACAACATGGCTAGACACAGTTTTTTGGGTTCATAAATCTTTGCCCTAAAAATTCTTCAGATTTACTCCACTATCATCTTTAGACTTAATGCTACTGAGGAAAAGAAAAAGACCAATCTGTGTTTTGTTACTTTATAGTCAACATTTTCTTGCAGGATTCTTTGCATATTTCTGAAATTCAAAAACTTCACTGGGATAATCCCAGGGGTGGATCTCTTATCATAATTTTTTTTCTGGAAGAGGGAACTTTTTAAAAGACTAAGTTTCTTCACCTCACTGACATTTTCTTATTAGTTTATTGCATATGCTTCATTTATCTCATCTTTTGAATATCTATTATCAGTACTTAGGGTCTCATCTTTGTCTTCCTATCTCTCTTTCTCTTCTCTTATTCTACATTCTGAGAAAGCTTCTGAAGTTTGTCTTCTGAGACATTGATTTGATTTGCTACACTGAGACATCTGCTACATATGACCTCCAGAAAGGATTTTATTTGAATTACTGCATTTTAAAATTTTATTTTCCTTAAAGACTTTCTCTTTCCTTTTGCCCTCAATATGTTTTCATTTCCATTTAGCCTGCTCTCTCTTTTTAATACCCTATTTGTATTTCATAGACATCAGTTTGAAAGATAAGATATAGGGAGGAGCCAAGATGGCGGAGGAATAGGACGGGGAGACCACTTTCTCTCCTACAAATTCATCGAAAGAACATTTGAACGCTGAGCAAATTTCACAAAACAACTTCTGATCGCTAGCAGAGGACATCAGGCGCCCAGAAAAGCAGCCCATTGTCTTCGAAGGGAGGTAGGACAAAATATAAAAGATAAAAAGGGAGTCAAAAGAGCTAC